CACCACCACATCTCCAACCACACTGGTCCAAAGTCACCACATCTCCAACCGCAATGATCCAAAGGTGACCATGGGTTGGAGGATGGAGTCACCACATCTCCAACCACAGTGATCCAAAGGTGACCATGGGTTGGAGGATGGAGTCACCACCTCTCCAACCACTCTGGTGAATCCTGTGAAACTGGGGATTCTGGGAATCCTTTGAATTCTGTGAATCCCGTGAAACCGGGAATTCCGGGAATCCTGTGAAATCGGGGATTCTGGGAATCCTGTGGTTCTGTGAATCCTGTGAAACTGGTGATTCTGGGAATCCCGTGAAACCGGGAATTCTGGGAGCCCTGCGGTTCCGGGAACCCTGTGAAATCGGGGATTCTGTGAACCCTGTGAACCCGGGAGCCCCGTGAACCCGGGAATCCCGGGAACCCCGTGAACCCGGGAATCCCGGGAGCCCCGTGAACCCGGGAACCCCGTGAACCCGGGAATCCCGGGAACCCCGTGAACCCGGGAATCCCGGGAGCCCCGTGAACCCGGGAACCCCGTGAACCCGGGAATCCCGGGAGCCCCGTGAACCCGGGAATTCCGGGAACCCCGGGAACCCGGGAATTCCGTGAACCCCGTGAACCCGGGAATCCCGGGAGCCCTGCGGTTCCGGGAACCCTGTGAAATCGGGGATTCTGTGAACCCCGTGAACCCGGGAACCCGTGAACCCCGTGAACCCGGGAACCCCGTGAACCCGGGAATCCCAGGAACCCCGTGAACCCAGGAATCCCGGGAACCCCGTGAACCCGGGAATCCCAGGAGCCCCGTGAACCCGGGAATCCCGTGAACCCCGTGAACCCGGGAATCCCGGGAGCCCCGTGAACCCGGGAATTCCGGGAACCCCGTGAACCCCGTGAACCTGGGAATCCCGTGAACCCCGTGAACCCGGGAATCCCGGGAGCCCCGTGAACCCGGGAATCCCGTGAACCCCGTGAACCCGGGAATCCCGGGAACCCCGTGAACCCGGGAACCCCGTGAACCCGGGAATCCCGGGAGCCCCGTGAACCCGGGAACCCCGTGAACCCGAGAATCCCGTGAACCCGGGAATCCCGGGAGCCCCGTGAACCCGGGAACCCCGTGAACCCCGGAATCCCGGGAACCCCGTGAACCCGGGAATCCCGTGAACCCCGGAATCCCGTGAATCCCGTGAACCCGGGAATCCCGGGAGCCCTGCCATCCCCTCAGCCCGCGCCCAGCGGCGTCTCCCGCCCCGGCAGGCCGAGGATGAGGAGGGCTAC